GGCAATAAGGAAGGCTACCTAATCTAACTAAAGGGAATAACCTTCTTTTAGGTCTCTCTTTAGCTTCTTTAGATTTAATAGCTTATAATAAACCTAATTTAAATTAATTATATTAAGATAAGGCTAATAAATTATATAACTAACTAACTTAATTAATATATAATTAAAAATTGCTATTTTAATTAGGTTAGATTAATACTTTAATAAAAAGTTTTTCTTAATAGTAACTATTATTATATAGATCTCTTTTAGTTTATCTTTATTAGCTATACTTAAGGCAGGCCTAATAGCTATATTAAGGTTATAGCCAGTTATATAGTAGTTATAATTATATAGCTATAGGCTATTTTATATAGTAGGTATTATATTAATAGCTATAATTAATATTAGTAACTATAACTAATAGGTATAAAAAGTTAAGTTAAAGAATATACTTTATAATAGATTTAGCCTAGTACTCTTTTAGTTAGGGTAAAGAAAGAAGGCTAATATAGCTACTAAGAGGTAAACCTACAGGCAGTATTAATACTGCTTAATTAAGGCAGTAATTATACTATTAAGGTAGATAAACCTTATATAATTTTAACCTTTAAGATATAGGCCTACTATAGGGGCCTTATTATTTAAGCCTTTAAATAAAAAGTTAGAAGCTTAATAGCCTTATTAGGCTAATAGTAAAGAAAAAAAAAAGAAAAAAAATCTATTAATTAAATATATATACCTAAATATATAATTAATTAACCTTATATTTAAGAACTGCTAAAAAAGTAATATTAGTAAAGAAGCAGTGATTTAAACTGAAATATTAAAGCTTAATACTGTCTTAAAGCCTAATATGGACTTATAGTATTAATTATGGCACTAAGAATCTGATAATATGAGCCAACAAGCTTTCACTCCTCGAATGGCATGGACGAAACGGCTAGCCAGTATGAGCACTATGGCTCACGATATTGACGCTATATGGCTTTTCTTTTTGTGAGATCCCTTGGGATGATAAACAACTATCCTCGAATTCATTTATGACACCGTAATGCAACTGGACTCGGGCTGTAAATGCCACATCAATATAATTCTTCTTGGCATGTCGCAATCTGAAAGTGCTGCAAAAATAGCATAGACCAGCATTTCACATTGTTGCTACGGTCGAGCCCTTCCTACAGTACAGGCCATTCCGTACTGGCAACTGCAGCATAGGAACAGTTGACTGCCATCATATAAATATGCTCTTTTGCTGTATTATGCGATCTCAGCCTAAGACTCCAGTGTTGGCCCACTGACCGATAGCGGTTTGCCATGGAGTCACTGAAGCACCTAGAGCCTTGAGTTCATTTTCAACATCTTGCTCGATCTGAGGGGCCTGTTTGTTCTTGGTATCGTAAGTAGAATGAGCACCTTGAAGAAGCGTGACTCGGAGCCCAGCTTCCAGAGCGCCCTTGCAAGTTTCCAGCACACAGCACTCACTCTGTATGCCAAACGCAACAATGTGTTGAATGCCTCTGGACCTGAGGAGACCAGCTAAATCCGGATTTGACTTGAAAGTGTCCCCTAGGTACATTTAGCAATGACAATGAATGAGTGTTCAAGAGTCTCACGTTGATTCTTTGACACGAGCAACTCTCTTGTATTGTTTGGGTCGTTTTCGAAGACCAACTCCCATGGTTTGCTACCCGTTACAAGAGGACCACTCTCGGGCGATTCTTCATGCTGAACAAAAACTATGATGGGTTTCGGATCGGCAGCGATACCTCTTGCAACCTCAAGTATTTGCTCTCCGGCATCGCGTATGCGTTCAGCGTGGGGGATTTCGGTCTTGTCATCTGATGCCAGATCTTTCTGGATGTCAATGACAAAAAGGGCGCTCACGGGGACTGACATGTTCTCAATCGCTCTGATTCGAGCGTGGTAAAACAAACGACTAGAAAGAAAGCTTGGCCATAAGGTCCTTGATAAGTCACAGGATAACTAATCCATGCCTTGCGAATGATTCACGAACAACAAAGACTAAGCCAAAACAAGGCACGCTTCAATTTCGTCAGGCTAAGTTCTCCACACAAGAGCAGCGAGGATACATCGCTATGATGAAATCCAGGTTTATCAATAATGGCAAGAGCACGTACATGCTCCATACTTTATCTTCTTTTAGTATACAATAGATGATAGTCAAGGCGTCTCGAAGTTCTTCGACAAGACTAGTGACTACATTCTATAGGGTATTAAGTAGCTTGACATTCAGTAATGTCTCTTACAGGAGCATCCTTCGGGGATCCTCAATGTACTCCTTCACCTTGACAAGGAATTGCACAGCCTCCCGGCCGTCCAGCAGACGGTGGTCGTAAGTAAGAGCAAGGTACATCATGGGTCGAATCTCAATCTTGCCGTTAACGGCAACGGGGCGCTCCTTGATAGCGTGGAGGCCAAGAACAGCACTCTGGGGGAGGTTGATGATGGGTGTGCCCATGAGAGACCCGAAAACACCGCCGTTGCTGATGGTGAAGGTGCCACCAGCCATATCCTCGATAGTAAGCTTGTTGTCGCGAGCCTGTAAACACATGGTTAGTCACCAGTCTACTTGTGGGCGTGCCAATGTTGCGACCAACCTTTTTGCCCATATCAGCAATCGATTGCTCAATGCCAATCATGTCCATAGACTCGACATTTCGGACGACAGGGGTAACAAGGCCCTTCTCGGTAGCGACAGCCACACTGATATCGACGTAGTCGCGGTAGACGATGGTGTCACCGCCGTTGGGACCCTCAATGGAGGCGTTGACGGCGGGGAGATCGCGCATAGCAAGAACGCAGGCTCGAGAGAAAGCACTCATGAAACCAAGCTTGACACCAGTCTTCTTGAGAACGTCCTCCTTGTAGAGCTTGCGGAACTCCATGATGTTGGACATATCGACCTCGTTGAAGGTGGTCAGGGAAGCAGCCGTGTTTTGGGACTGCTTGAGACGCTCAGCAATTCGAAGGCGCATACGGTTCATCTTGACCTGAAAGGCAGTTAGTACTCGGTGACTGGGCTCAAAAATTTCTGCATCATCTTACACGGCGCTCTTCTCGGTTACCCATAGAGGGACCGCTGGAAGCGGCAGACTGTGGCTTGGAGTCCTTCTTCTCGGCCTGTCGGGGAGGTTCGGGCTTGCTGGGAGCAGGAGCAGACTCCTTCTTAGGCTCAGGAGCGGATTCCTGCTTGGGCTCAGGTTTTGATTCAGACTTTGATTCGGGCTCGGACTTCTGGGGCTGCTCCTTGGACTCTTCTTTGGGGGCCTCCTTCTTGTCACCGGATGGCGCGCCTCCAAGCTCAATTCGAACAAGGTCTTGTCCGACAGTGACTGTGTCCTCCTCGGCAACGAGGAACTCCTTGATGGTACCAGACTCGGTGGCGTTGACAGCAACGTCAATCTGGTGAAGACGTTTTAGTAAGGCTGTCCTGGTGACAGTTTTCAATATTGCTATGACGGCATGCATACCTTGTCGGTCTCGATAGTAGCAATCTCCTCATCCTGCTCCACATAATCGCCAATGCTCTTGGAAAACTGCTTGAGAGTACCCTCGGAAATGGACTCGGCCATCTGAGGAACCTTGATGACGGAATCGGCGTAGGAGCGAACGGTCTGCATCATGGAGGGAAGCATGACGAGAGGGTGCGAACGGGGCCTCAGCGCCCTGGTGGCGGGCACCATGCGGGCGGCGGTAGCTATACTTCTTGAGAGCATCTTGAAGAACTGTGAGAAGGACTGTCGAGGACCGGAGGGGAGAGGAGAGGATCGCGGGTTGTTGTTGCTGAAGTTGTATTATGGAGGTGGAGATATTTAGAAGGCAGGCCAGGAGGGAAAAACGAAACCACACACGAATGAAACAAGCTCGGACAATGATTCGCGATGTTCCACTCACGAGCAAGTTCCTCTCGGCAAGCTTTGGGGGAAGCAGAAAAAAAGCCGGGCAGTCAAGGTATGCGTTAGCGTCAAGGTACACCGAGGTTCCCAAGACGGTGTAGCGCAGCCATAAATAACCCAGGAGGTACATGTCCGACATAACAGGAGGTTTCCATTAGTTCCGTCAGCTGCTGATTGGCTTGCACCAACGATTTCAATTACCTGATGCCCGACGGCTTAGCCGAGCAGCCATGTAGTCAGTTATTCAGCATCGACCCTACATGGTTTCTGTCAGGGACTTGCCATCACCTTTCTGATTAGGATTTACGAGCTACACAACCCATATCTAACCCCTAGCAGTGATTATACCTTCTTCCTGCTTTGTTTGGGCAACTTCAGGCGACTCGTGATGGAGGACAAATGTGGATCACTCATACGAGCCATGACCAACTTGACGAAAAGGAACTCTGACCACACAGCCTGCCAACAGCTGATTGACAGGCCGACGAAGGGCCAATGTCATGAAAGAAGCTGGGAAATATGTCTGTGATGTAGATGCAGATGAACGGGGCACCTCGTCAATCAATCAGTACAATCTAATACTACTACAATTCGTCTTAGAATCGTTGCAAGTTACTATTGGGTGAATTTAGCCATTACTCCAATCCTAACGCATAGAAAGTTAACCTAGTTTTCGCTCTCTTGATCTTGAATGGGATACCTAGGCGCCTTGAATTCATATTTGTTTCCCAACTGCTGCCCACTCGTCTCAAACAGTGCTGTTTTCTTCGTTGGATGGCTTGACCTCACGCCAACCCTCAAGCCCTGCCTTGGCTTTCCACGTCTGGGTATCCTCGTTGTATTGCTCCAACCACTTAGCCATAGCATCACTGGCCTGCGAAACAATCTCTGTTTTCGCTTGGTGCGCATCTGCTGCATTCTTTCCGAGTTTCTTGTTTGAGGTACTCCCGACCTGCTCGTCGCGCTCTTTTCTCTTCCTCTCCCGGTCAGCCAACCATTCTTTTCTCCCAGCCAGGTATTTGGCGCTGTGTCCTAAGCCAGCGCTTTCGTGGGATATGCCCTTGTGGGGTCTGTCGAGTGGAGGAGCAGTGAAGAAGAGAACTCGGCCAGAACTGTCATGTTGAAATGACTCTCGCAACTCCTTTGGCATCGCATCGTTCATATTGTCGGGAAGTGCGTAGACCTCTGGTGGTCTGGGTGGGTTATACACATTGCCACCCTGCATAGGCATCCCTGGTGCAGCCGACATAGGACTGCGAGCGACTGGAGTGGCTTGCACTTGGTTGTATGCCTGGGTCAAGTGGTTTGGCATAGGTGTTTGCTGATGCATAGGAGGCACCTGTTGCCCATAGTTAGGGGCGAATCCTTGTGCATATCCTGCCTGCGAATGCTGAGGTTGGTGTTGATATTGCACAGGCCGTACAGACACTTGAGGCTGAGCACCCAGGTGAGGTTGATGTGGAATAGGGACTGGAGTCTGTTGAACTTGTGCTGGTTGGGCACTAGGAGTGACCGGCTGAAAGTGAGGTGTCGTGTGAGCATTGTACGGGACGGGGGAGGGTGAGGGACCTCCAGGATAGGATATTGAAGGATGTCTCCCGGAATGATCACCAGGAATGCCACCAGGCACTGACAACATTGAAGCGCGCCGGCCAGAATCAGCGCCGGCATCAGGTAGTGGGACCGCCGACATGGCCTGTGGCGGAGGGGTGGGGACTGGCGGTGGTGAATCCTATAAAGTTATGGTTAGTTGCGTGCGACAATAAAGTGAGACGAAAGAATGAAAGCCTGAGGCATGCATGGATCACGACCAAGAACCAGGCGTCGAAGCTGGGAAGGAAAGGAAAGACGTTGGCTGGCAGGGATCATGCAGAGCGATCGTTTGCTGATAACGAATACAGCGACAGCCAGCCGAGTCATAGCATGGCACTGGCATGATAGAAGAAACGAAAGAACAGATGCATTTCACCTACATTGGCCTCCCGTTTACGGCGATGTACCGCTCCAACAATAGGCGGGGCATTTGGGCTTCCCCATGTTGGCTTGGGAAGTTCATCTGTCTCCTTTGCATCTTCGCGGAGCAAGTGCTTAATCGGGCTGGGAATCTTCTTCATGCGCCGAGGCACATCAAAGAGGTCCATTTCGTAGTCTTTGTCGCGCACCTCATCTGGGACACAGCTTGCCCACGTCTTGATCTTGTTGAATGTGAACTTCTCCTCGTTGTAGCGTGATTCACACACATAAATCTCCTTGTCTAGAGGAAATCCTCGAGGTCGCCCTTTATTGAATCGGGTCACGAACATGACAAAGCATCGATCCAAAACCTCTTCGATTTGATGATCCCGGTATTGACCTGTCTTGACAACTTCATGCTCGAAGAAATGCTTCTCATATCGATGCACAGTCTGTTCTGGTCGGTAGTACCAGCAGGCATTGATCCATCTTTGGCCAGCGCGGTCTTGCCAAGTTCGATAGATTTGCGCAACGGTGGGCTTAGCCAGGTCATTGGGATTTCTAATGTGAACCCAATCACCTATATTCATGTCAGCCGCGTGACAACACTGGAAACACATCGCACAGTGGTATTTCTTCATGTACGTACCGACTTTCCAGACCTGCCCGTTATATTGGATCTCTGCCAAGGGTAACTTGCCGTCTTCGTCTCGGAAATCATCATCAGGTTTGGCCTTCTCCTGTTCAGCTAAAAAGACAGCCTCTTTCTGTAGCTCAACTGCGGCCTTGTACACTTCGCTGTCATCCTCATTATACCGCTTGGCATTCTCAAACATGAGATTGAGGTCTTGAAGAACATGGTCGATGCTTTGATACTTCTTCCGCTTGGCCTTTTTTTTGATGTTGTCGAGAGCGATGGGGTTTAGTATCGTTGTATAGTAATCTGGTACAGCTGCTTTGTCTGGTAGCTTCTCGAAAGGATGAACAAGTAGATTTCCTGCAGCGTCCTTGGGCTTTCTCAATCCCTTCAATAGTGAAGCGATGCGGGCTTCGTTTGGTGTAAGAACACTAGGAGGTCGGCCTCTTCGTTTGTGCGAATCATCTTCGTAGTCTTTGTCCTGATCTCTTCGACCAGCGCCACGTCGTCTTCGTCCCCTGCGTCGTCCGCCTTCATCGTCTGAATCGTCATCTTCATCCTCATCATCATCTTCTTCTTCCTCTTCATCCTCGTCTTCTTCATCGTCTTCCTCGTCTTCCTCATCATCCTCTGCTGGTGGAGACTCTTCTGCGGGTGGTAATTCACCCAGATCTGGCAATTGTGCATCATTGGTATTAACGTGGCCCTTTTCTACCAGCTTCTTGAGTTCTTGGACAAGAATTTCTCGAAGACGAACTGCGGCACCAAAAATAGGAGCGGAGGGTCGGTTGTAAACTTGAGCGTTGTGACAGATTTGCGCAACATCTTTGACGAACTCGGCAAATGAGCCGTATTGTTTCTTCTGAGTTTTACCCTATCATTGTGGTTAATGATCCATATACCAGCTACCAATACTGCACAAAACCTACTCGGATGGTACTGAAAGCAATGGGCTCGGCGATGATTTCGAAATAATCGGGCAGTGTTCGTCGATTCGGGATGCGCTGGAAGCCAGCAGCAAGCTGCTCACCACTATAACTCTGTCAGCATCACCATATCCTCTCCTGCACTAGGGAGGGAAGCATACTCATCCTGAACGCTGCACAGATAGGTCGAGAGATTATGGATCAAGCGATACATATCGGGACGGCCTTCATCGTCCACCTCGCCTTCTGCGTCCTCTTCACCTTCGGCATCTTCGTCACCTTCTGCGTCCATATCTACGTCAGGGTCGCCTTCGGCATCGATATCATCGTCCGGTGTATCCTTCATCTCAACGTCCAGGGAGGCTGTCTTCGCTTCTATAGATTCGCGCACCTCTGGCGCGTTCGCCCTCCGGCTGGACATGACAGGCTCGTGAGACCACTTAAGTCCGGTCGCAATGCGGGAAAATCGAGGCGTTAACGGCGCGTACTTTTCGCGTTGTTCAAGTTAATGTATATTGCGGCATTCATTTGCTGAGACGGGGTGGACTGCGAAATCACGACAGCGGGAGGAAACTGTAATTAAAGAGTACCTGTGTACTATGCCCGAGCTTGGTTGAAGGTGCGACTGGAGAGCGCGTGCATTTGCGCGCGACTTCTCGTACTGTTATTGGTTAGAGCAGCTGTGCATTTCTAAAATCGGGTCCCAACTGGCTGTCAATTGACACATGGTTGTGACGGTGCCAGCTTTCATCCGGATCATTGATTCAGTCAGTCAGGTTTGATCTAGCCTTATCGTTTCTGTGATTCATATACCGGATTTGTATACCTATCACTCAAGCTCATATCATTCTCTTCCTGTGGTTCTAGACACTGTTTAAAACAGACTTAGTGCCTCGCTTTTCTCTTGCTTCCTTTCAATTCCTCGCCTTTGAGTAAAGCAGCCATCCTTCTTCAGTCACCTCAAACAACTTTCACCCAAACACATTAATCACCCATATCCTTTACGAGAGAACTCGGGATACTGTCACCTTATACTGAATCTTGCACATAGTCACCGTCATGCGAGCTCGTTATAAAGGTCCAGCCGGTACCGGTATCCTTGAGATACCCGATGATGCCACTGTTAAAGTGCTATTTGATGAACTTCGAGTCAAGACAGGAATTACCACTTTTGGCATAAAATATGGCCCTCCTATGGCTATGAAGACTCTTGAAGCTAGCAAAAGTGATCAATTTGCTCGATCTCTTGGTCTTCATGGTGAGACACTCACTATCGTACCCGAGGACGTACCACCTCCCGCACC